TGATTTCCCTTCGCTGGCTTATTGGCTCTCCAGCTCAAATGTAAAACTGACTCTCTTTCAATGTCTGTGTGTTAATAAGTCCAGATCAAAGAAGAGTTCAGAGAAGCTGATCTTCGACAGCAGCCAGGGGAAGGACAAAACGAAGCAAATGTTTCTCAAGGTTAGTGTGAAAACCACAGGGGCAGTAATTCCACTTAAAAAGGACAATAAGAGGTAAACACACCTGTGGCAATGATCCCTAACTGCATCGTCAGGCACACATGCATAGGCCCACACTGACAACATACACCCAGTATAACATGCTACATGCATTTGTCTTTCTTCCAATAATTATAAATAACATCGCAGGTTCATCAAGTAAAATAGTTTACAGTGCATTTTGAAAAATGTTTGCAAAAACGTTTAGCACTTTAGCACTCAACAACAAATATAACTCTACTGACAGCAATCAGCTGATTAGCATATGTGTTATACATCAGCCTGCCCCAAACTATAGCGTAAACGCTGTTTCTAGACCAGAAAAGGTCTAAATGTGCATTTTTAGTCTTATTTGGGGCTGTCTGGCAAACTGAGCATGATGGAAAAACTACAATTCATAATTTTTACACTTTTCTTTTGCACAAATTGAATTTTAGTCTATTTCGGACATTGTCATGCGGTTATACTTACATGCTGGAATAAGGACAAAACAGAAAAGAAGATAAGAGGCAGCTCTGTGTGCGTCTAACAGTTACTTCAAACAGACAGGCCAAAACATCTCGATAGAAGCGGAAAGATTCCCGAATCACTCTGTTGGTTATAAAAATGTTCATATGCGTATATGAACATCAATTTAAAAGTATTTGTCAGGGAGAAGTTTTTAGTCTTCATCCCATTTCCTTGCCTTTGCTTCATGTTAAATGCGGTGGCTCTGTGGTGTGGTGGTTAACACAAAAAGCAAAAGCTTTCTGGCTTTAGACTGTGACGAGACACAAACCCAGCGATTGGGGGGGACAAGCCGAGTGTCCATCTCCAACCTCCATTGGGAGGTTTACATCAGGAAGGACGTGCAGTGTATCATCTGTGCCACATCAAACAAGCAGATCTGCTGTGGTGACTCCTTGGAAAATAAGGGAGCGGCTGAAACTACCTACCAGCTTTATATTTTATGGCTTGACCTCAAGTACGTGATAAAAAAGAAAAAAGTGTTATTTCCCAAAATGCAACTATTTCCTTTAAAATTAGAAAGAAATGTGCCAAGGAAAAGCCGCATTTACCCATAGACTTGTTGAAGTTTCCTGATCCAATATTAAATTTAGAAAACTTTATAAATAGTATCCTAACAGTTATTAATAAGGATAGAGAGCATTATTTAAAATATTTACAGTAATGTAAGGGAACGGTGGCAGAGGATGGTGAAGAGACTCAAAAAAGTGAGAAAACCAGAGAAGAGGTTATGCTCAGGTGCTGAGATGAGCATATATGGACAAGAATGCAGGATTCATTTTTTCTCTCACCTCTGTGTCAAAGTGGGCCTAAGCAAACAGAGGGTGAGCCTGACTGGAGGGAAAGCAAGGGAAGGCAAACAGTGACTGGTCAAAGCCAGGAAGCATGTGGGAGCGTTAAGGTCGCCTCAGTGCTGAAATCTCAGATCCACTAGCTCTGGAGAAAACTCCCCACCCTATAGACATCCACAGGCTGTCAGTGCTTTAACTGAAGCCCTGCACTGGAAGTACTGGTGTATAAATGTGTTTTACATATTGACTAAAACAATTAATTTAATCTCCAAAAACCTCCCTCTCCATGATAATCATTAGGTACTTTATGTTTTTTTTTTTTTTTTTATCTGAATACATTTCATCCTTATCACACGTGTCCATATAAAGCATACAAAGCTTATATTCAGTTCATTTCAAAGTGCTAATTAAAAACAATAGTTTCCTCAAAACACTTTATATTGTAAGGTGGAAGAACCTACAAAGAAAACTGAGAAAACCCCAACAATTATATGACCCCCAGTGAGTAAGTGGTTTGGCAACAGTGGGAAGGAAAAACTCTCTTTTAACAGGAAGAAAACTGGCAGAACCAGGCTCAGGGAGGGGCGGCCATCTGCCACGATCAGCTGGGTGTGAGGGGAGGAAGACACGACAACTATGACTATTTATGGCAGCATTAGACTCTTTAGTGTGTTTTTCACAGTTGGAAAGTTACATTGCTTCTGTCTATCTTAATACAGAAGTCAGCTAACCTAATCAACAAACCAAAATGAAGAATATATGTACAGCCTTGAAGTCATTTTTAAGCAGAAGAAATTTCTATAATGAAAAACATTCAAAAGTAAAAGTGCAGTTCAAACAGATATTGAGGTTGATCATCTCTCAGTTGATTTTCACGAGTTGTGCCAATGATGGCGAGAAAATGAAATCAAAAGCCAGTGAACAGCTTATTATACGATAAGCAAATAGGTTAAAATATGCGAAATGCTTCTCTTTTTTCTCAAGATTCAAAACGGAGACAATACAAGTTTAAATCTTTTTTCTCAGGTTTGCTTGAATTGCACCTGCATTTCATCCTTTGAGGATTGAGGGGGGTGGGGGTGGTCTGGGAGGGGAGGGGATCTAAAGCTCAATGGAGATCAATGTTAATTCCCAGTCCTGCTGACCCACACCAGGAAATGGCCTGGTGTGACAGTTAGCACCAGGTGGGGTGTTGGAGGAGAAGAGACAGGCGCCAAATGGGACACTAGGACTGTGGGAAATGACACCTCTGACTTTTAAACCATTTCTACCTCGGCTAATATACAAAGCGGTTCCTCTTTTTAAATGACTAAATAACTAATAGAAAAGGAAGTTATAACTGAATGAAATGCTTTGCACTTGTAGATAAAAGAGGCCGCATTCACAGCCAGAAGCTTGACTTTATGAGGACCTTCCAGGCCGAGCTGATTGACTTGACTAGAATTTAATGCTGCATCTTCAACTTTTCTATTAAACAGACAATCCTTGAGATCCCTGAGAAGAGCAGGAACGCAGATATGTACGTCAGTCTTCTGAGGCAAAGATACGCCCTTTCTTTAACCAACATGGTTTCCACATAAAGGTTGGTAAGTGACATGGAAAGTTTAACCTTTGTCTGTGAGATCTTTTTTGTTTTTTAGTAACATTCATATTCATTGAGGCGACACAATCTGAAGACGTCTTTCAGCTTCTCTTTAACCTGAGTGGGATTTGTTTTTCTCTGCTTGCTGTGAACTCTGGTCCAGACTGCTGGACACAGAGTCAGACTCACTGTGCTGGCAGGAGGAATGAGGCGCCCAAGATTTGGTTAGTAACACAAGCCAACCGCAACACAACACCACAGAGCTATACTGGAAGCTAACACGTGGGTGCCACAAACTATCTGCTTTTATCATTTGTTTTTATCTTATTTGTTATTTCTTGGATGCCACCATGGCAACGGCAGTATATAGTAGTTATTTGTGAGGGTGACACTGCTGTACTAAATGGATGTAAATCACTTTTTCATTTAGTGAGTTATCAGTGACTGTGTTTTTTCTTTCTTGTTCTACCGTAGGTCCTTCCAAGCACGGGCTCCAAGCAGGAGGGGAAGCCAGCCCGGCCTATCGAAACAACGGGAAAGTGTTCAGACTCACAGACCCTCGCATCCCCAACACCTGAGCAGGGTGTCAGGTGCATGAAAGCAAATATGAAAAACAAAAACTGTTTAGACCGATGTTCACGTGTGAGTGTTTTCTATGCAGCCAGCAGAGTTTTGAGACTTGGGTCTGTGACACAGGAGCCTTCAGTGATTCGCTTTTCAAAAGGTAAAGGTTCTCAAAGTGAACTGTTTTCTTCAGGATTCAAGATTCTTTACTTTTGTGTCAGTTTGTTTTAATAAAAACATTCATCTACGCTCACCGGCTTTTTTAAGTTTTAGTAAAATGATCAAGGATGTTGTTGTTGCACTTTGTGTGCGTTTGTCTAGATCTCTCATTCATTCATCACTTAAATTAAATTTGATTGGATAGAAGTGAACTGGGGCTCCAAAAGTCAAGATGTGCCTGAGGTGATTACACTATATACAGTACAGCCTGGAAAGCATTCACAGTGTTGAATACTTACATGCTACATGTTTTTTTAAATACCTTTTTAAGATTTTCAGTCAATTTTTTTTCTGTTTGTCATTATGGTCTATTATATGAAGGTTTGAATAAAGAAGTGCTGTGAATACTTTCCACATGCACTCTACATTATAAATAATAATAAAAAATAAATGGCATAAAAGTGAATGAGTAAGACATTGTCCCACAAGCCACAAGGCAAAAATAAAATATACACTAAAATTTTGACTATAACGAAACATCACTTCAGACCTTTTTTCTTAGAGGAAATGTGTATGACTCTCCATAAGAGATTTAGAGTTGTGAAACTTGGACTAGTTCAGTCAAAATAATTGGAGTTAGTATTATTTATTTTTAATTCATGTGGATTTGTGAACTTTTATTTGAATTTTTGTGTGTGTGGATCACTGTGTTGTCATTTTATTTGTTTATCTTTGTTCCTTCCTTTTTTGTTGATTTGTTTATGTTGGAAAAAAAACAACAACAACAACACAGAACTGAAAAGGTTTCAAGCTGTAGCTCAGAAATAATTCTCATAAAATCGGGCTGCCATCAGTTTACAATAAAAGTGAAAGAATTACTCAAACTACAGCGTGGATCTTGTGAAGGCCAGCTATGGTCAGCGATTTGCTTTCTGCAGGTGTGGCTTTGATCTAAGTGTCAATGTTTACAGGTTGATGTAATAAAGAAGGTCAAACTGCTTTATTCAAAATGCAGTCATCCTGTGGGCCTCAATGATATGGCCGCTTTCAGCCAATCTGCAACAAGTCTGCTAAGATCAAAGAGGAGATGAGCCAACCACCTCTCCTCCAAACACCCATCCTCAGCTGGAGCTTCTCTTTAGCCTTTATAGGCAGGAGCTGTGAGTGACGTTCAGCTTCCTCGGACAGAAGTTGTTTTTCTATTTGCACAAGGAGACGAAAGAGATTCTGGAGCAGCTTTAAGGTTATTCAGTAAGCTACGTGTTTCAGCCCTGGAGGTACTGGACAGAATGGCGACAGGCGCTGGCGAGTGTCCGAGCAAGGCCGTTCAGTACCGGGTAGATCACCTCCTCAGTGCGGTGGAGAGTGAGCTGCAGGCCGGGAGCGAGAAGGGTGACCCCACGGAGAGGGAGCTGAAAGTGTCCTTGGATGAGAGCGAGCTGTGGCAAAAGTTTAAAAACCTCACAAATGAAATGATAGTTACAAAGAATGGCAGGTGAGCGCATGGATGGATAGACTGATGTAAAACACAGTTCTAACTTTCTTCCGTTTTTTAAAAAATGTGTGACTTTATTTTTTAAGGCGCATGTTTCCGGTGCTGAAAGTGAGCGTGTCTGGACTGGACCCGAACGCCATGTATTCCTTTTTGCTGGATTTCGCGTCTGCAGACAACCACAGGTGGAAATACGTCAACGGAGAGTGGGTGCCTGGTGGCAAACCCGAACCTCAAACTCCCAGCTGTGTGTACATCCACCCAGACTCCCCAAACTTCGGCGCGCACTGGATGAAGGCTCCCGTCTCGTTTAGTAAAGTCAAACTCACAAATAAGCTCAACGGAGGAGGTCAGGTAAGTGCAAGGCAAGTTCGTGCCGTGTTTTTAAAATGAAATACACAATGAAAATGCGTTTCAGAGACACAACATAGCTACATCTGTGTTGTCGTTTTTCCAGATCATGTTAAATTCTTTGCACAAGTATGAGCCACGCATTCATATAGTTCGGGTTGGAGGCCCACGGAGGATGATCACCAGCCACTCTTTCCCAGAGACACAGTTTATTGCAGTAACGGCGTACCAAAATGAAGAGGTAGGCAATGCACCGATTTAGGTGTGTGTGTGTGTGTGTGTGTGTGTGTGTGTGTGTGTGTGTGTGGGTGTGTGTGTGTGTGTGTGTGTGTGTGTGTGCTTTAGAATAAAATTAGTTTAGCAAGAAATATGGTTAACAGAAATGGAATACAAATAAAGTTTAATGTGT